AGCCTGCCCTCCGGGACAAAAGGATCCATCTCATCCCAACCAAAGATTTTGCTGATTAACCCCAGGAGACGCTGGTTCTAACAACCACGGACTCCAGGTTATACCCACTCCTCCATCCCAGTCTTTCACTTGTGCGCTGACATTCCCCATACACTCAGAGCCATGGAGGAAAAAAAACAGAGTGATAAAAAACAAACAAGACCACAATTTTTTTTTCCTGTCTGTCTTCTGAGCCAAATTGTTTCAGTGGATTGATATAAACACTGACTCACATGAACCGATGATTACACTGTTTATGGAACACACATGCTAGTGCTGGTTTCCCTCATTAATCCCATTAGGAGCTTTGGGGAGAAGAGCCCACTCATTCACATACTTTTGATAGCAACCCACAAACGCATGCACGCACACAAGTGGTGGCCTTTTCGCAAGATGGAAGAGTTTTTCGTGAAAATGTCAGATGTGGGATGGAAGCGGTCCCCTTCTTTGTGTTACATTCTTCATCATAAACATAGCGCTGAACAAAACAGCAGCGTGTCAGTCTGTAATATTCCACTGTTGCTTTAGAGACGTCTAAGCCTTAAAAACAGTAAAAGGTCTTCTTTATTGCACACACACAAATTAACAAAACTTTACAGAGCCTGCGGATCTTAAGACTTGTGCGTGCGGAACACACTTACCGTGTCTCTGAAGCCATCGTATTTGTAGAAGTTTCCTGTGCTGGTGCCCAGTTTGATGCCATGACCTAAACACACTCGTCTCCACTGAGCCAGGTTGAGGTCACTGGCTGAGATGTTGTCCACCTTCCCCGTCTTGGTGCTCTTATAAACCACATTTTGCTTACTGAAGCGCAGTCTCCCGTCATTCTGCAGCAAGAAGAGATGCAAACAGAGATGGGACTTGTGTTAAAACGTGTGGGTTTAAGGCTTGAATTAAGGCTTTGTTCACGATGAAGCTAAAAGGTCAACTAATTCATTACTTTATTGGGGGAAAAAATATTTTGACAGTTAATTTGTTCTTTTTTTAGGGAAAAATACAACTTATCAAATGTAAACTTTTTCTCATTACTTTCTATTCTCCTATGATAATAAATTTATGTTTGCATTTGATTTGTAGTCAGACAAAATACATTTGAAATCATCAACATGAGACATAATAAAATCTGGTGGTCATTTACCAATTTACTGATATTTTATAGATCAAAAGATTTATAATAAACAAACAAACTTTGCTCCAAAATCATAAACATAATCTTTTTATTTAGCTGCACTTTCAGTTTCAGCGTGGAGGTGTCTTTAGAACCACACATCCATCCACCCCTTATTCTAGGTGATCAAGTTATACTGGGAAACACTGAGGAATTTTGAAGCACATTAGTAATTTTGATCAGGTTTCAGTAAATTCAAAACATCTTTCTAATTTCAGACTTATCATGCTATAGTTAAATGAACTTCTTTTAAATGAGCAACATGGTGTTTTCTAAACCGTTTTCAGACATGATCTGCGGGTAGTCCGGAGAATTGGGTCTGGTCTTTACCCTCAGTTTGATTTTCACACATTCACAATGCAGCGGGAGGTTCTCTGCACAGACGTGTTCACAAAAGCGACAAATCCTCCACATTATTCAGACGAGAGGTGGTGCAGCCGGGCGCAGCAGACAGAGGCAGGCAGTGAAGAATGAATTACACTGCGGGGATTGTGTGATTTTCTGATCTAGTGTGGTCCTCTCTACACATCAGTTTAACAGAGGTTGTTGATGAGGATACTGACCCAGGAACCTTTGACCTCCTGGTAAATCTCACTGAACTCCAGTGTGTCTCCCATCTCAGCTCCAGGCGATGACTGATGTTCTATGGACAGACAGAAGAGAATGCATTGGATAGACAAGGATCCAGAGAGCCTTTTTCTGCAAGTTTCAATATATTAAAAAAGACTTTTTAAGACAATGATGAATTAAATTGAAGACCTATCTCAAGTATGACAGATAAGGAATATCAGAGTCCGAGAATTACTCACACTCCCCTCTAGATGAAAGTGAAGTCGCCTTGTAAAGAATAACTCTTGAAATGCCACAATATCCCTCAAACTATGGCAACAGTAGGTATCTATAGTTTTCCCCACAGCCATGGAAAGTGCAGTTATCAGTTCCAAAGCCTTGTTTGTGGATTTATTACTCTTTCATTGACAGAGGCATTAACATTTTTTAAAGCAGAATAGAAGTAACATTTAATTATCTTTAACAAAGACCTATCTCTATTTAAGTACGTAATATTTAAACATATTAAAAACTTTAAAGGGCCTAAAGTTAAGATGATTGAATTTGAGACTTTTTAAACTTTAAATGTCCCCCTGTGAACCCAGACTGAATCAACTATTGTTTTTGAGAGTGTATTTTCAGTTAAGGGAATGAAGGAAGTGATGTTTCACATGCAGGCTAATGGTAGACGTCAGTGGTATGACCCACAGCACAGTGTACATGTATTATTTTACTGAATTATTGATTATTATCAATAATTATCATCCTCACGATCACATTCTCATCGTCATAAAATCGAACTGATGAAAACGTGTGACGCTGTCCAACTTTAACCAGGATATTTTTCTGATTAGCTTTTGTTTGCAGTGATATCGACATGTCTGCTCTCACTGAGTAGAAATGCAAGCTAGCTCACAGCTCCCCTCAGTGAACGTTAGCATTTCACACATTTACATTCAACTAAAGTTTCAATCATTTTTTACTTTGGACACAAACCAGCTAGCAGCAGTTTCCACTCGCCGTCATTTTAAAGCGAGCGGGGACGCTGTGTACTGACGTCCATGCGCCTGCAACAATAGCTAGGCTAACTTTAGCTGCACTGGGTGAGCTTGTTTTATGACACAGTGCTGCGCTGAGTCCTCGTGCTGTAGCGCACAGAAGTGATGCGGGGGGAACGCACCGCCACGTAGAGACGCGGCGCACTTGCAAATCGAACGCTCCCGCAGAGCTAGGCCGGTGTGAAGAAGTGAAGTGATGTTAATTCAGCAAAAGGAAATGAAAGTGCGTCCGAATCAAGCACGCGGGCGACAAACACCGTGTTAGAACCCACGCGGGCCTCAGGAGGAGCTGGTCAACGAGAGAGAAGCGGAGTTAGAAAAGTTTACATCTTACTGTGGATGTGAGCCGCAGCTTCGCCTGTTTCCCGCGTGTAGCATCGGGAGCTAGCGTGACGTCACCGGAAACACTCAGGAGAGGTTTGTATTTACTTCCGCTGCGGTGACGTTTGGGTTTTAATTTGAGAGATTCAAGTTTTAAGTAGAAATGAAACTTTAGAGTCTTTACCTGCAGCTTCTCTCCCAACACGTGAAATACCGAGTCAGTGATCACAACACAAACCGAGACCTGTGTCTGCACGAACCACTCATCACCACTGGGTGGCGCACAACACAGCTAATCAAATAGGTCCAGGTTCACTTTGTATTCCAACGTGAGAATTAAATTGTGACACAAACTGAAACACGGAGAGAAACAAGACAGAGGTGTCATCAAACTTAATCTAATAATAAGAGTGAAGGGAAATACAGTTTAATCAGTAATTATTTATCCTTTGAATCAAAGCAGCGTTAATGAGGCCGTGAAAAACCCTGGATGATATAAAACAGAATATCTATAAATTAATCTGTTAGAGGTTGGTGTGTATGTTTTTTTTATAAGCGAATTTATGTATTCTGGGTGATAATTTGATTAAATTAATGATTTTAATTAGAGCTAAACTAAACTAAATATCTTAAAACTAATTGATTTTGACACGGGCTCCAGATTAAAAATTGGTCTTTAAAATAAACAAGAACTAATTTTAAAGCCATCGTAATGTCTGTGATAATCTGCTTTTGTGCATGTTGCATGTTCCAAAATGAATTTCAAATTGAATCAACATGACACGTGGACCTGTGGCCCCTCGTTGATCCAGGATAATGAAAACTGTCAAACAACATAATCGGTGTCTATCTGTTCTGATTTCGATGCTGCACAGAAACCTCGTACAGATTTAGGACATCACGGTGGCAAGTGAGGGATTTTGAAAAGGAGTCGGCTGTCTTCAACATTTTATTCATTTCAATCAGTTGGATCCAGGACACGTTGCAGCAACTGTAATGTGGTGATGCGGTGTGAGTGACAGCTGGAGGTGAGAGGAGAAGATCACTTTAATTCCTCTGTCAATAAAAAACATAAAAGCTGAGGAATGAAGGGAGAAGAAGGAAACGCTGTGGAGCAGGCAAACACTTGTCTCCTTTCATTTTCTTAGAAACAGACAGAGAGAGGGGGGGGGGACTTATTCCCATTATAATTGTATAAATGTGCCTTGCTCACAATTTATGAGAGGCCTCTAAAATTAATAGCATTTAGTAGAATATTCAGTGGAATCTGTTTTCACCAGTTTAATCAACAAAAGCTTTTTAAATCATCTTTATTGACTAAAAAAAATTCCATGATAATTTAAAGTTTATTTTTGTGGTTGTATAAATTGTAAAAAGATGATTTGGGGCCTTCTGTTAAACGGGGACGATTCTTTTAATTAGTAATTTTTTTTTTAGAATAAATAAATATTAAAGTTATTGAAAAAAAGAAAATCCCTCATGTCTGTCAGAGATGGGGGTCTGGGGGGGTTGCACATTTAATTCCTCGTTTCCTGGATGATCGGAGGGTCGCAGGGTTCCCAGGTCTCCCTGACTTGCACCTTATTATCTGAGGGAATCCAATTAAACATCAAACAGGCAGCAGTCGGGTTGCGTTGCGTTCAGGAGACAGAAATGAGTCGTAACAAGTCCCGTGGTTCAGCGGCTCCGCACCGGGCTGAGCCGCCGGTGCGTCAGCGCGTGAATCACCCGCACCGAGGAGGAGGAGGAGGAGGAGGAGAACAGAAAGATGGAGAGACAGGGGCAGAAAAAAAAAGTGAAGGAGGAGGAGGAGGTACAAAAAGACTCCGCCGTCAGTCCGTCTGTCACACAGAAGACCACACACACCAGGACAGAGGAGCGTCAATATCTCACCTCCATCTCCTCTCTCTGATTCTTTATTATCTCTAGACGTTTTCCTTCCATCCACAGGATTTAACCATCACCTGACTTGTTTTGAAAGAGGACTGGAGCAGATTTCGTTGAGCCTATGAAAAGTTTTTTTGACTAATCCACACGAGGGAAGAAGAACATCACCTTCATCGTCACCATCATCATCATCATCGTCATATTTCAGCTCGTGCAGTGGATGAGGCTCAGAGAGCGCGCAGAACGGAATAAAGAGATTTGGAGAAAATGACAAGATTGTGCGGAGGTAAGACCATGAGGATAAAATATTTGATGGACGTTTTAATAAGCAAGAAAACTTTTTTTCTTTTTCCACATGAAGCTCTATAGGTCAAGTAAAAAATCCACAAATACTATATTTATTTAATTTCTGTTTGATAATAGGCCTATAAATGTGTGATGTATATTCCTTTACAAGAGCAGGACTGGGTGCTACAGAATATGTTGGTGTGTGTTTTTACACTTTTAAAATCCTATTCTTAGGAGTATCCTTAAGTTTAATTCCACATTAAATTCTGCAGCCTTAACTTAAAAAAATGAATTATAATCATGCTCGTATATCTTTCATTTAGCTTTTGTAACCCTGGAAAGAACTGAATCCAAATGTATTTTTATGTTTCTATTTATTTATATCTTTTTTTCTTTTTTTCTTGCAGCATGCATTGTTTATTAATGATTGTAAAGCATTTAGAAAATGAATAATGAAGAGACAGAGGGCTCTGGAGGTTCATCATCACAACCCAAAGGTTATCAAAAGATGTTAAATTTAGTTTCCAATAAATATTAATGGACTAAACAAACTACATGAGCACAGAGGAACATTTTTATTTCATTTTTGAGTTATTTTGTATTTCTCAGATATATGCCAGCAAATGTGTTGACAGCCAAGAGAGGAACAGAGTGAAAAGAGAGAGTGAGAAGAAGAGACCGGACAAAATGTGTGTGTGTGTTAGAGGGAGAGGCGGGGGGGTATTATTCACAATAAAAAAGACAGGAGTCGAAGGGGTCGGAGGCAACTGAAGCCCCTGTCTAGTTAGCTGTCACCGATATGAGAAAGTACATGATTCACGTTAGTCAGGGTGTGAGAGAACACACACACACACACACACACACACACACACACACACACACACACACACACACACACACACACACACACAAACACACACACACTTTTCCCCTTGGGATGACTGGTGCGGCTGCTGCTCCATGTCTTCTAGGAGGTGAGAGAAAGAGGGAAAGACACCAAAGGGCGGCTGAGCCATGAAGTGATGTGTGGAACAGTAGATCACCAACTTCCTCTCTCTCTCTCTGCCTTCTCCTTCTCCCTCTCCATCTCATGCCATCCTCCCTCGCTCTCCTGGCCTCAGGTGGTCAGGTCATGTGAACCAGCTCTTTGGCACATCAGCAAACTTGATGAAACTTTAGACTGACAAAAAACAGAGAGCTGCGGGCAGAACAAACTGCTGCTGCTCCTGATACTTGGAGCAAATAAATACACAGCAACCTCCACTGTTGGAGAACATGCCACCTTTGACTTTCACACACACACACACACAAATGCTGATATACACACTCTCAGAGACAAGGCCTGTTACTGACGGGAGGGTTGAATTAGTGTCGGTGTGTTTCAGATAAAAGCGTGTGTGTGTGTGTTGGACCAATGAGTTCAAACACACAGCCTTTTGGAGGAAAAAAAGAACGAGGAGAGAGAGAGCGAGAAAGAGAGAGAGAGAGAGATGTGCGAAAGCGAGGATAAAGTGAACCTTTCACATCTTTTGATTCGTTCAGCTCCATCCTCAATTCTTCATGTGTACACACACACTCACACACACACATACAGTACATATACATATAGGGATGTCAAGCTGATGTTTGGAGGGGGGAGGTTTATAGAGAGAGAGGGAGAGAGAGAGAGAGGAGGAGGAACTGGCGGTAGAGGGGTTAATGCAGTGCAGATTGACAGAAGTTAGCAGCACCCAGAGGGAAAGAGCGAGCACAGAGAAGGGGGGAATGATATAAAATGAGTCGGTCACGCTTTGAACAGTTACACATGCTGTTTACATTTTTCCCAAATTAACATGGCCCCTCGCTTCAGAAACCCCCCTCCTCCCCCACCTTTTCCTCTCCCCCCTTCCTCTCAAATCCTCTCTTCCTCCTCCTCCTCCTCCTCCTCCTCCCCTCTGTCTCGATCCTTCAAGGCCCAAAAATATCTGTCCTCACTTTCAGATCCCTCAGTTAAGTAAAATGAGCAACACCACAATATAAAAATAGACACTACTTTTAGAAGATATGTGTCCAGAAAAACAGCACGGCGTCATCAGCTCAAAAGTATTTATTACTCAGGCAGACAGCATTGGCTCCAACTTTAAGTTTTAGACATTGTTGAGTTGTTATAAAAGACTGTCTATCAATGGATTGTTTATTTAATGAGCAATTTTTTTAGATTTACACTATCTTCATCAGCAATACACAACATAACTGTGGCTCGCAAAACATTTTGTAGTGGAGCTGAAATTCAAGGTGGCGTGTAGAGAAATACTTAAATAAACATATGACTCTATTTGTCTGTAGCACAGCGATAAATAACAAAAAATACAGCAGATGACACATGAAAGTCATACTGCCACAGCAATAGTGAACCACAACACACTAACTAATACACAATACAAGAGATCATGAGTGTCTCCAGGACTCTGCCGAGCCGCTAAACTAAGTCATTAGGAGGTAAATTAAAAACCGAGGGTCTGAAAAAGGGGCCGGTGAGGAATGAAAGATGTCGATTGAGGCAGCGAGTGGAACCAATTAGTGAAAGGAAGAGAGGGTAACAGTAATTAGGGAGAGAAAGGAAGGAAACTTTAAAATGGAAGTTCGATGTTTCAGGGAGATTTAGTAGGGAGACGGAGGGAGGGCGACAGATCAAGCGACAATGAAATTGAAACCAAACATGGCGATAAAGCAAGGAGCGGGTGGAATCCACAGATTTAAAAGAGAGAGAGAGAGAGGCAGGGATAGATTGGCTTATAGGGTGAGGAAGGAGACAAGGAGCGAGATGGGAGATGGAGGACACTGACTCTGTGATCAGATATTTGCATAGTTTCTGGGCATTAAATGTGTGTTTTCTCTTGCCTTTTGGTTCTGGGGGTTGTTTGTGCTGTTTGGCAACATGAGTGTGTGTCCAGGGCCAAGAGGATCAATCTGAAATTCAGTATGAACAAAAATCTGCAGAGGAAGAATCTCCTGCAAGAGATGGGATGGTGTGTGAGTGTGTTGGTGTGCGTGCACATTGGTTTGTTTATATGTATTTATTCAGTATAAGGCTGGTGCATACATGGATCTACGCCCCACTGCGCAATCTGGATGCTTATATGTGTGTGCACATTTGTGTGTGTTGAGTTAGTGGAGGAATGCACATTTGATTGAGTACAGACTGCACATAAATCTAGCCTGTAACTGTACACAGACACACAATGCCGACCCTGACCCCAGACTGTCAAACCCCTCCACCTCCACTTGCCCTCACTCACCTATAAGTGACAGAACCAACATGTGTCTCCGTCCCTCGCGTCAGTGTGTGTTGATGTGTTTTTTCCCCCAGGCGTCCTGCACAGGTGTGTTTATGTTTAGGGTGAGTTTCACGACGGGAGGCAAAAATTTGCCAGTGCAACAAAATTATAAAAAATCTACGCAAACAAACAATTTGGCTCGAATTTGGATTTGGCTCAGTACAGGTCTTTGCTTTTATAAAGCCACAATGTTTTCACGGCTCTGCCGTGATCACAACAAATGTGTGAGACAAAGTGAAGGATTGGTGCAGATTCAGAGAAAGAAATGTGACACGTTGTTGAGATAATGAGATTTAAAAATGCCACTATGACGTCTCAAAATTATTGCATGTGGCTGCATTTCAATCAGTTTCCTGTGGGATTAAAGCTGAATTTGTAGCGATGAGTCTGTAGAGTGAGTTCAAACCCGTCTCTTAGATCGCTCACAACACAGCATCCAGGAACGACAGCAATCAAATCAAACATGTTCGGATGAATCTGTCTCTAATGTCGCTGTCCTCTGATGCAGCAGATGAGTGGATGGATACAAATGAAGTGTGGAGAGTGAGAGGATGTAGCCTGAAGGACTTTTAGTTCGGAAAAACACACCACAGATGATGTTTCAACCTTTTTTCTCAAGTCCATCTGCACGGCTTGATTTATATTGAATTGAGTCTCACAATGTACGCTCACTGAGAGCATGTCATTACAATTAACTGCAGCCATTCTAATCACTGTTGCACTTGAAATGATAAACATCTCATTTGGACCTGATTTACAACATCTTCCATGTACTCTGTTTAAGACTTCTTTTCAAGTGGTTAGAGCAACGGAGGGCAACCTATTTTGGCACCGGTGGTAGTTTTTCCTGGACCAGATTGGAGACTGGAGGCATTTACTCGCACATGCCTTTCCCACAATTCCAAATTCTGTTTTTTTGTGCTTGTTTAAAACCTTGAGTGGCGGTGCATGTTGGGAAACATGAAACACTAGTCCTCTTGGATGGAGAGCGGTAGGCCTGTACAACACCCACAAACACTGGGTCGCTGGTTTACCAAAACACTGTCTGCAGTGTGAAACGTCACATGTGTTTCAAAATTCTTTTCACCATTGAACGCAACCTTCCATCCCAAAATTCACCTCTGAACCCTGACCCTCGCGGTGGGGTTTCATTCTGACCTATTTGGAGTGCAGAAGCTCTGGCGCACGAAGCCAGTTGCTCAGCTCTGTTGGGCAGATGGCAGCCAGACTCCGGAGTGTCACATCTGTCTTTACATCAGCGAAAACACACCAACGAATAACAGAAAAAAGATCTATTGTGAATAGTGGAGCTCCCCTGTGAGTGCATATGTAACCCTAATAGGTATGTGAGAGAAAACGTGCAGAGAGTCACACGCACATGAGTGCACAGAGGCGGGTCATGGTCGGCCGTTACAGGGAACCCCTGTGTTGCTGTAACGCAATCCTCCCACGGAGAATGTTCTGGTTTCAACCCTGCCCTGCGGAGTGTGCTGCCACTGCCAGGTACACAGACACAGCCCCAAGCCTGCAGGGCTCACCTTGATGTCAGGCTATATGCCGACTATAGTGTAGTTACTCTGTATAATATTATATAACTGCAACATGGCTGTGGGTTCCAGTTTTCTCAGTTTACTTGTACAAAAGAGCAGTTGTTTTTAGCCGCAGCAGAAGATGCTCTTAGACATGTCAGCGCTCAATCAAAACAACAAGGGCCTTCTGCGTCTGGCAATCATCTCTGAGCATGTGGCGGCAGACAAAAGGAAACGGTTTGGATCAGTTTGGGTCGCTTTTTGCCAAGGAGAATTTTGTCTCTCATCCCAGGCTTTCATTTATTTCTGTACCTTTTTTTATTCCCTCTGAATTCAATCCTCTCAGCACACTGTGTGTCCTTCTCCTCCAGGGCTGTTTACCCCGAGAGTCAACGATGATGTGTTGATTTCGGGGTGTTTTGATGCTAATGAAGGATGTTCAGTGGGAGAATCCTGTGCCTGATGAGCTCCAAATGTTCAAGCGTTACTGAAAGATGCTTTTCTGTTTGATTCGTGACAGGTGATGAAGGTGTCTGCAGTTGAGGAGGTCCCAGGAGGAGGCTTGGCTGACGAGGGGGGGGGGGGATTTAGTTTACAGATTTCAAGGTGTGTGTGGGAGCGTGTGGGAGGTGCCCAGGCCCAAACACATGGATTTAGAAACTAGCTGTGAGGAAGTCATTTGATGAATAAATAGTTTGTAGCTGAGGTTGTGTGGGAGCAGAGTAATTAAGTCACTTGTCTCACCGGTATCATCACTGCAATTTGTACCACAATCAAAGTGATTATCCTCACTTCAAACTCATAACTTTATTTTCTTCATGAGTATTTGACAGAGGTGAAGAAAGACATTTTCCTCTTGGATGCATTTAACGTTTCTCGCTCAGAGCAATTATAACACATTCTTGTTTTCAGTTGCACAGACAGGCAGGCAGCACATTTTTTTACATAAAGAGCTGTATAGAGCACATGCCATCATTACGTTTCTACCCGGACCTGTTAGGGAGTGCATACCGATATGTCAAATGTGAGCTTGTTGAGTAAGAGGAAAAAGGTGTTGACTGTTTTAGGTCAGAACTTGTTTTCTTAGAACCACTGAAAACGTGTCGAGGGTAAATGTTTTGCAATCCGTTCAAACTATTCACTTAAAGCCTCTAATTCTTCCTGGAGGGGCCCGTCCCGATGGGAGACATGAAAGGGAGTATGAGAGCTAATCAGGGTTAATTGACTGCTGTTATTTTGACCCGAGGCAGAGAAGAGATAAGGAGGACAAGTGGGCAGGAGAAGCCGAGAGAGAAAGAAAAAGGAAAGTTTGAGTGTATGTGACTAATTCAGGAGAAGAAAAAAGAATTTGGTTGGTGAGGCAACAGGAGGCCCGAGGTGCGTCAGAAAGAGACGGAGACAAAGCCGACAGGGTCACACTCATTGTGCGGAACATATTTCACACCTGTTGAACAGCAGCATGTTTTGCCCATAATTACAAGAATGAATCACCGCAGCCTGCAGTCTGGGTGTCAGGAGGATGAGAGTGAACGGGGATGATGGAGAGCAGAGATAGCAGAGAGAAATGTTCATCGGCTCCGGTGAACGGCTGAGGAAGTGTTGAGAGGGAGTTCGAAAATGAAGGAGGAAGTGTGAGGGCGACGGCGTCCAGAGAGAGAGAGAACATGGGACAGAGATCAGTGAATGTAGGTGAAGTCTCTTAATGTTGAAAACCAGCTTTCAGCTTCAATTTTCTCTGTTTGAAACCAGAGACAGGAGCACTAAAAGGTTTCCACTGTTCCAATGACCCCTCTCCACCCACACACACACACACACACACACACACACACACACACACACACACATACACACATACACACACACACACGCACATGCACAGTACACTCACATCGATGTGAATGTAATCAACATATATAATTACAGCTACAAACATTCTCACACACACTCACACAGTAACATAAAACACCTACACAAACACTCCGACACATAAACACAACGTCCACAGAAAACAACCAACTGATACAAACACTTTAATGTTTGTGATTGTAAAGAAAGCCACGTCTTGGTTTCACCATATCGGTCAGACATGAACGTGTGTGTGTGTGTGTGTGTGTCAACTTCTATGAGTGTACATTGTAAGAACCAGATTGAGTGTTGGACATCCTGTTGTGGTTCAGAATTGAAGTGTGATTGCTTGTGTGTGCACTTATTGATTCGTTCCTTCTCTGAGGGACACAGGTGTACAGGTGGTTAACTGAACTGGGCTCATGCACTCCCACACTCCACGTCTTTATTATTTCACCGGATTCCCATCAGAAGTAAAGCTAACTTGCCCATAACAAAGGCGGGGCAATTTCATTTGTCAATGCTACACCTGGAATTGTATTGGTTGGGGAATTTTGACAGAATTGTAGAAGGAAAAAAATCTAAGAGAAGACATTTAATGCATGTACAGAGGCAGCGTGAGGAGAAGAGCTGAAGCTGGAGTGAAGGAGAAGCAACAAAATATCAGAGTGCAAGTGCACGGTTCAACACAAGCAGAGCAAATTAAAGCACAAGCAGGGGTCATTTGAATGTGAGCGCTGTGTTTTGTGCTAAAGTCTGAATCATGCAATAAGTAAACCCTGCTCTCAAACTGGAAGACCACAATCTTGAATAAAGATTGAAAAAAACAATAACTTTTGAGTAGAGAGATAATGGAGTGAGAAAATGATGTGACATTCTGAGAGTTGAGACTTGCTCTTGGGGTTAGAGTTAGTGGTAGATTAGGGTAAGGTTAGGTTAGTAGTTATGATCAATGTTAATGTAAGGGGCTGGAGGAATGCATTATGTCAATGTGTGTGTACATGCGTGTGTGTGTGTGTGTGTGTGTTTGAGTCTTTAAGCTGCTACTCGCCTGACAGGCTGGTTCACTGAACATAGGAGCCATTTGTCTGACTGTCTGAAGCTATTAAGCAAGGTTTTATTTGAAGCCAGAGTAAACCTCAGACGGCCAGAAACCGCTAAAATTAGATTGGAAACGGAAAAAGCTTTATTGGCAGTGTCAGATGACTCTGACCTGGCAATATGTAAACATATGAGCCCATTGCCATAGAGACAAGGAAACAAACCAGAATATTGTGAAAATCCCTTTAAACAGTGTGAACGGTGACTTTAGAGCGACGCGAGGAAACTGTTGCCAGAGGAGATTTGTGTCTGTCCTCAAGTCATCAAACTAAATTAGAGCTTCAAGTGAAATAATCACAAAATGTCTGAGAAAATAATAGCTGAGATAAATTGAATCTCTTTGTTATGATTACAAATACCTCTGCAGTGTGTAAATGATCACCCATGATTGTCATTAAAGAAACATCTCACAGTGTCTGAGTGACTTAATCAGAATCCTGAGTCTTTTATTGTTTTTATTTCTCCACAGTCCATCAACACCAGTTCATCCTGTTATTGACTGCTGCCATGGTGATGGCCATGGATGCGTCACACAACCTGGCCAGTGAGAGGAGTTCGATAGAAAGCACATATGAACTCACCAAGTACCTGGAGTATCAGCTCAAGGAAATCAAAGACGTATATGTGAGTCTTTTTTTCTTTCAGTATGGTTTCTCTTTGACAGGGGGACAAAAAAATCATGTTTTTTTTAATTACAATTTTTAAAATCACACATTTTCATTGGTTTGTTTAATTCAGAAAAGTAAAATTGTGGCCTGCAAGGCAGATAAATAGTATATTTATTTCGAACAACAACAATTTATCGGTCCTTGCAACAGTCTCTCCTCTGGCAACATCACAGTTATGACAAAAGTCCTGAAAGCTTGTGTTCAATCAAGAAAACATTGCTGCTGTTTAAACATTGTTTTACATTGTGTGGTCCTGAACTAACTTAAAGAACTTGATCTAACTTTGATGTTATTTTCATAGTCTGGGTGATTACTCATAAAGCTCATCATGTTGTCATGTCAGTAACTAATGACTTCATGAAATATGGCGACAGACATTGGACATGTCTGGAAGTTTCAAACCCATGTGTTTGTCAAACTCGTTTGGAAGAGAAAACAAAGCTGAACTACAAAGTCATTGTTGTAAACATGCGTCACAGTTTAGTTAATTTAATGTTGATCCACTGTGCTTGTGCACACACAGTTTTAAATGCATTGAGGACTCACTACAAACATGACTCGAGTGCTTTCTCTCAGGTCCATATTAAATGGTTTAGATAAACTGCATAAACTCTTGCCTTGTTTAAAGCCTGTCTATCGCTTGACAAAACCTCTGTGTGGCAATTAAGCTGCTATTAGTGATACAATGAATGACGACACAAGCTATAAAACTGAATTAACCACAATTGTCCAATAAACCTTCTCATTACTTTCTCCTCCTTTGGTTTGCCCCCTCCAGCTCACCTACCTAGGCCCTCCATTCAACGAGAAAGACTTCTCCCCTCCGCGGCCCAACAGCACGTCTCTGTCCCTGCCCATTGCTGCTACCCGCCTGGAGCTGTGGCATGGCCTGGAGAACCAAGCCCGACTTGCCCAGAACCAGAAGGCCTACTCTGTGCTGCTGGCGGCTGTCAGGGAGCTAGCCCGCTCCACTCTCTGCCCCTCCCTCAAGACCTCCCTGCTGCACTTTTGCACAGGCCTGGACGGACTGCTGGGCTCGATATCTGCGCTGATGACCACGCTCGGTTACACGCTTCCTCCTCCATCTGCAAACATGAGAAGTAGCGCTGGCGAGCTGCAATACCCTCTGAGTTCGTTAGGAGGCGACCAGCCGGCTCCACTGATGAGCCAGAGCCTGTACAGGTCCAGAGCTGGGACGAGGATGGAGGTGGGTCACCGTAACAACCACAAACGAGGTGGAATGAGGGTGGTCAAAGGAGATCGCGAGGATGGCGTCAACATGGACCTGATAGGGAAAAAAAGAGCGAAAGAGGGGAGGAGAGCTGAGACGACTGCAGCTAGAGGAAGGAGTGGCGGATCGAGGGAGAAAGGAAGAGGAGATAGAGGGAGGAGAGGAAAGAGGGAGGAGCCTGAGAGCAGGATATGGGCCGCCAGCGAAGACGAGAGAGTAGGGGAGGAGGGACAGGAGGAGCTGGAGCGAGAGAGAGGGGTGGAGAGATGGGGGAGGAGGTTGTTGAGCATCAGTGAGGATGGAGAGGAAGAGGGGAGGCAGACAGAACCTGGGGTCGAACTGTCATACCTGGAAACGCAAAGGTCCGACTTCATTCTGCCACCAACCATCAACGACAACAACAATCGTTACAGCTACAACCTGAACTCACGTCACATAGACACCATCAGGAAAGAAGATGGATTTATTGTGGTGAAAACCAGAGGGTTAATGCTGGAGGAGGGGCAGCAAACAAACATGGAGGCTGCCTCCTCTTCCTCAGCTTTCTATCACCAGCGTCGGCCTCCTCGCTCCCTCTTCTCCTCCACCCTCCAACCTCCCCTCGCCACCCTCTCCCTCCTTTACCAGTTCGGAGCAGGTGAAAAGCACACCCTCCTCCCCCAGCCTGTCCCCCTGTCTTTGCAAAGGGGTACCTCCCTCCTTTCGCCCCCTCTGACCCCACTGCTCTCCTCCTCCTCCTCCTCCTCTTCCTCCTCACTCTTGTCCGTGCGGCCGACAATGAACGACTTTGCCAGGAAGGTGGAGGGGTTTTGGATATTGCGGGAGCTGCAGAGTTGGCTGTGGCGATCGGCAAAGGACTTCAACCGCCTCAAGAAAAGACTACGAGGTTGAGACACTTTAACGGGATGAGACACTGAGACAAAACACACACACTCACACAAACACACAATGTGCAGCATAACGGAAATCTTACCCATAACGAATTGCACCAAATCCAAGTGGAAACTAACTGAGAGCTTTGACAGACAAACGCACATAAACACACTCATGCTTTAATGCATTCATTCATACTGTACTGGAATAAATGAATGAAGCACGATTTGGCAGGTCACCAGAGGCACTAATGGAATATAACACACAAAACCCAACACATTACCAGCACTGTCACCCGCCTAATGCACATAGCAGCTCATTGAGCGAGACACGCTGAGACTGGGCTGAGTTACCGGACTTCACGGCTCATAGATCAACAGAAATACCACTGTAGGTGGTTAGACACATGCACGCACAAGGGTAGACGTAACGTCAGGCAGTGAGAGAGACAGTGCAGGCATTGAGAGAAAACTGATTCAGTGACCCCCAGAAGTGTGAATCAGCAAACATTCATTTTCTCGACAGGCAGAAGGGAAAGTTTTCTGAATGGGTAAAAGACAAAAGGAGAGCAGAGGGAAGGAAATGGCCAGAGGGATGAAGAGGAGGAGAGGAAGACGCAGAAAGGGACGGGAAGACGGGAGGAGGTGTGAGTCAGGGGGCTCTGCACTGGGAATAATGGGCAGAGGGATACTGCTGAGTAATCACAAGATGGCCGGTCAGTTACAGTAACTCGATAAAAGCGCTACACATACTGTCCAGACAGAGGTGGTCAAACACACACTCACCCTCACTGTGGTATTTGGTGCCTTAACAACAACAATTGGCTTCTTTGCTGCTTTTGATTCACTGCTCATAACCTTTACCACTTTAAAAGGATTTCATCCCAGAGCAAGAAACATAAACATATTTGATCATGGAATTATTTTCCTGCAGAGACCTCACATTTTGGGAAAATATTTTTTGGGGCATTCTTGATTTGATATGGAGGTGGTTAGCGTAGCTTAGCATTAAGACGAGAAACAACAGCCCTTGCTTTGTTCAAATCTGTCAGCGAGCACCTCTAAAATTCACTAAACACTTTATATCTTGTTTGTTTGATCCACACAACGACCAAGTGTGAAAGCGTCAGGTTACCATCCTTGAGTCTCGTAACCTCAAGACTGACAGAAAACCTGCTAATCTGCTCGTCCAGCACTTATCGGCCTCATCCATGCTCCTGTGGATATTTTTTCCAGACATACATTTCATTTTGAGACCCTGTGGTAGTTCAAACCCTCTGAAAACACATTTTTACATGTGAGCGAACAAAGAAAATAAAAATGTTAGTAAGCAACCTTTCGAGGTTCCTGGCAGGTCCTGCTGTTAAGCTTCTTTTATACTTCTGTGTTCTGATGCCACAAGCTGCAGCAGCTTCGTCCATTGGCTCTGCAGCTGCACTGTAGCTGATATGCACTTCCTCAAAAATGTAACTGCACATCAGGGCTACAGCCGCGAGACACCACATGGTGACCACAAGAGCCGTGACTGGTCAAAACGGCCTGTTTGTGTTTTTGTCTCAAAGTTTCCACAAGATCATCTGGCAAAGCCTTTTCCACTGCAGCACTTCTGCTCACCATAACAATGGCACAAAATGAAAATACTGCAATACTACCATTCCTGTGGAATAGAATTAAAGCACCACATGACCTGGTCATTAATAATACATGTTGACGTGGCGCTATCCATGGGTGTAATCTGACGCTGAACCATAAATCTAAACCTACACAGTAGGTATCTATGACGGCACCTCCCTTCCGTTGATCGTAAATCTGACTTCAGTCTTTGTGCTAAGCTAAGCTCACGATCACCTGGGACAGAGACAGAGACATGAGATTGGTATCAGTCTGCCCCTATAACATTCGGAAAGAAAGTTCCCTTAATGCCAAACTGTTCCTCTTCGTCTCTCCTCAGCAAAAAATTAGGTGTATTTTTCATCCCTTTTAAAACCTGAAATCAGTCTCATTCCTTTATTTACAGATGGTTTGGTTGTTTTCCAGAATAAATGTAATGCTATGTCTTTGCAATGTGCCTTAGATGACGTGGCATAAGGTTATGGATCATATCTCTATAATATTTATTGAACAAGATGTTTATTTATTTTTTTTCTCCAGTGTGAAAATACTGTATTGTTACTCAAGAGAGAATAAATAGTAGCTTTTGTACAGAGCATGGTGTTATTGGTCATTTGGGAGCCCTTTGGGAGGAAAGACAAAAATGCATATGGGATTTTTGTTTGCAATGGTTAGAGTTTTTATAGGGATGGTTACGGGTGATTGGCACAAGGGGAGAGGAGTCTTCTGGAAAACAAAGACCGGCTCACATTCATGACGAAAAAAATGGGGCGATTGAGGCGCGGTATGAGAGAGTTTTTATTTGTCTGTCCGGGTGAAAATTTACGATCTCTCTTTTCTCCCTTTCATCTCTCGCTTTCCACCTCCCACTGCATCATTCCTCCTCCCACTTTGCTTTCCTTTCTCATCACACTATCTCACGAAGCTCCTCTTCTTACCCCCCCAAAAGAAACCATCCCTCTGACCTGTGACAGTCAGGGATTTACGTGAGCACAAACAGGTACAGGTACAAACACAGCCCACATAATCCCACTTTAGCTCTCTTGTTGTGTCTGCTTCAAAGCCGCCGTTCTCCCTCTGCCTCTTCTGTCAGTCTTATCTTTTATTTTTTTGTACGTCCCCTTGTCTTCCACACCCACTTTTTTTATCGCCTCCTCACCTGTTATCTTTCATTCCTCTTTGTCTCTCTTGTTTTGGCTTTATTGCTCTCGACTACACTTTTTTCCCACATGCTCTGCACCTCTTTGGCTCCCTCTCCTCGCCTCGGGCCAGATATTAAGGGATCAATGAGAATCCTCCCTCCATCACCTCTAGGGCGCACACCTGCACACACCCACCCTGACACAAAATGGTCACACACAAAAACACACACAAATGTGGACCAGGGCTCTGGCAAACAAGTTCAGAGCAAAGCATAAACCTTGACAAAAGCAGCACATAGTCTGAGCAGGAAGTGACTTGGAAGAGAAGTCGACTGTGACAACACTGACACATCATCACACACACATGACTTTCACTATATGGGCTAAAGGGTTAACGCTGACAAAGACATGACACATATGTATACACACACACATGCACACTTGCATAAGAGGCTGTGTGTGTTTTCTGACATTCAGTAAGCAGTGACTGAGGGGCTGCCAGTAGTCAACAAAGGAAGCTTTGTATGGCCTGTGTGTGTGTGTGTGTGTGTGTGTGTGTGTGTGTGTGTGTGTGTGTGTGTGTGTGTGTGTGTGTGTGTGTAGTGTTTTGCCCCTGTGTGGGCTTGCAAACTCAGCACGTGTGTGAATCATTATCTTGATGTGTCAGAACTTCTTTGGAATGAGGTTTGTCATGCGTAGCGATCGAGCAGCCATCACTCACTGTTTTCTCCCTCCGTCTCTTTCCGTCTGTCTCTCTCTGTCAGCGCTGCAGAGACAAATTGCTGTAACTAATACGTAACAGGATCGCTGAGCCCTGCTTGCTGGCGAGCCCTTCGATAAGAGCTGAGTTGAGTGACAAGGCATCAACGTTATTGGCTTGTTGGGTCTATATCAAGCAGCTGCTCGCAGAGGAACACGCCGCTGCTGAGACAGGCCCGTACGTCTCATTAGCATCTTGTGATCTAATGCAAGACTAATGACCCACAGAGGGGTGGGATGTGCAGGCCATCTCGCTGAGGAACTTTTTATTCGCTCTTGGAGAGCACCTCATGGGCCCTTTGCTCCACACTCCACCGCCTTCCAGTCTCAAAGAAAAACACCAAGATTCTGGGAAACTCCTCTGTGACCCCCTGAGGACATCAAGTCAAACTGATTATAGAAAAAAAAACAGAGCAGCAGAATCAGACATATTGACTTTTTATTCCACATATAGTTTTTCTAGTCAAAACCTTGCACCCGGACCACTGACAGTTGGGTTGCAGATTTGGGCGTCATCTGAGGCAATTCACAGCCACGGTCTCCTCTAGAGCCACAACAGACTGTCCACACCAATAAGGATAGCTATAAATATTTAGTTTTGAACACTAATATTAACGACTGTGGAAAATTATTTTATCGGGATCACTTTCAAAGTGATTTGAGGAACAATAGAAACACTGACAGCCAATCCAAACCCACATTCATGTGTCACATTCAACACATCATGTTCGATATGGCAGATGACATGACACCTCTGTTTGATTAAACAAACAACAAAACATGTCTATAAAGATGTCAGCATGAAGAAGCACATCTGGGATGCAACTGGACTCACTCTTGAAATCAGGGGTTGAATGTTTTGTTGTTATTATTAACAGAGACGAGAAGACGTGTGTTGCTCCAACACAGCTGGAGCGGTCAGCTTGTACTTGGCATCACTGTTTACAGAACATTATCGTTTATCAGTGTGGATGCTCTCTTCATTATCATTATAGTTATCATGCTAGTAAACACCCTCAGCATGGACAGCCCTTTATACGACTGTTTATACATATATATATAACTATATATACAGTATCTCCCAAGACATGTAAACAGAGTCTGATGCAAACAATCTGTGGATATATAAAGTCTGGATCACTTGATGCATAAATACCTTTAGCTGGCTGGTAGTTGAAGTACCTCGAAGGTTTTGGTTTGTAAAAAGATTAGCAATTGCATAAAAAAATATAAGAAGAGTTCAAGTATTTCAGTAAGGAACATCTAATCATAAGCTCATTAGTTTTGCATGCACAACAGAAGCAGGGCTGGTGCTTTGTAGAAGGTTTTTACCCAAGCTTCAAAATCAAAGCATCTTGAGCTAGTTACAGCTCTGATTGGCACAGCTGAGCTGCTTCATCTCCACTCAAGCATTTGAGGATTGTGGATATCTGAGTATTTATAACCATGACAGAAAAAAAGCACATTCTCCAGAGGTGAGTGAGAAAAAAAAAGTGCAAACAGGCAGATAAAGAAAAATGCAGAGGGTTGTCAGACGTGAGATGATTTGACAATGAGAGTGATATCAATGAGAAAGTTGTCCAGTGAGAATTTGCAGTATGCAAACAAAAGCCCTGGACGTCCTTAAAGGAGGCTGTGTACGAACAATACTTTTAACTTCACCTGAAATATGTTTCTAAAAGCTACATTTTAAATACCAAGTGAGTACAACATCTTAACCCTGATGTCTTGCAGTACTTATTTATAAAAAGGAGATCATTGTTATGCAGGCTAGTTTAAAAATGTGATTATAAAAAGTTGATAATATTAAAAGGAGAAGATCTGAACGACTCACAGTAAAAGTGAACTGACGTAATACAAGTGCAAACATACAAAAAAGTTCTTATCCCTACGAAGAATTCAAATCAATTTGTGAGTCACATGATGATAGTGCTGTGTGATGTCATCGTCGAAGCTGACACACAGATGCACCCGTCGAGTCGTTCTCAGACCTCCTCTTCCTCCATATTCTATCTTTCTCTCTCCTTTTTGCTCTCTATCCATTTTTTTTGTCAAACCTTGTCCTCCAATCTTTTCTCCATATGTCTCTTTGTCCTCCTTCCTTTGTCGGGCCCTCTCTAACCTGCACAGGGAGCCATTTTGTGTCATTTTATCTCATTTTCGCTTCATTTTCACCCCATGAGTGCCCTTTTCTCTGCTACAATCGAACCCTTTCACGCTTCCCTTAAATTCCCTCGGCCACCCCCGCGTTCTCGGCCTCTTTTTCCATCTGTCTATCTCCTTCTCTCCGTCTCCTCTTCCCTCTCCCTCCCTCCCTCCCTCCCTCGCTCTGTTCACCTGCAGCACATAAAAATTCCTCCTTCCTTTCTCCAGAGAATTGCTCAGTCGCTCAGGGATTTACTGCATTCTTCTACGCTTTCTCTCCCTCATTCTCTCCATATCTGTCTGTCCATGTTTGGCAGCGTTACACAGTGTTTGATTCAGCCTATCTCCTGCTTTGTCCTTTTAACACATTTGTATCCTTCTCTAAGCCCTTCTGTGTTTTCCGTCTCCATCCCTCTCTGACGTTAGAATAACGCAAACTAATCCTGAACCTGTTGTTTCCATGACCCCACCCTAAATGATTTTTTTTCTTTTTCCTCTGCACCCACTCTACCTGCCCCACCTGGCCTCACCCTCCTGCTGGGTTTCTGCCATGACGAGGAACATCCCGCCTCCACTTACTTTTAGCTGGAGGCTACAGGGTTGGGCTGCAGCTTCTCACCGCTTTTTTTTGGGTGGTTGGCGGGGGTGGGAGTGGGGGTGCAGGGGCGCTCCAGGGCCCGGGGCCTGGGATGAGGTTGATTTATGAGTTAATCAATCGGTTGTCCGTGTGAGCGAGCAGAACCGCAGAGATGTGTGAGCTCTTTCATGTCAGTGTCTGTGCTTGTTGACTTAGTCCCCCAGGGAAACACTGCGAGCTGTCATTCCCCGTGTTGCTCGGCTCCTCGACATGTTTTCAAAAGTAATTAGGGAGAAAATTGGGGCTGGGCGTTCATTCATCTGATGGCTGAATGGATTGTGTGTATGTGTGTGTGTGTATGTTCGTGCACAGTGGGTGTTAAGGCCTGACAGAAGTCTTACCTGACCGTGAAAAGTCATAACATCACACATGTGGAAAGGGTAAATCTCAGTCGAGAGAAGCGAGCTGTGATTTGCTTTGGATAACAAGACAACAAATAATTCTCTTCCTCCTTCTCACCTCCACCACTGAAACTTACACTACATCCGCATGATATTTTCCATGGTGTTATTGTAGAGGCCTCAGCCCACAGTGTAACACCGGAACAAAACAAAAAGCTCTCCTCTTCTTTTCTTTTCACTCTCTTCGCAGCATCTGCCAAGGAGTGAGACACACAGCTCAACTGAACAAATCAACATTGATCGAAGTCAATCAAAGTTTAATTCCCATAAACACTGCAGCTGCACTGTTAGATCGGCCATATCAATATTTATGCAAGATTACAGAAGAAATAGAATGGAACCCATAATGAAACCACCCTAACTAACCAGATAACACTGGATCTTTTATTAGAGTTCAATATCAGTCCCCTGAACAGGCCTGATTTATTTCAATGAACACCAGTGAATTGTTCTCTGAGAAATGGACAAAGAATTAATAAACAACTTGTCTCGCAATCTTA